GGGGGCCTAATGAGGGTCTCAGATTAGCTTCATAGATTTCCCACTCACCCGAGTCAAAGGCTGCTTTCTCCATCTAGAAAGCCTGATTATTTGATTTTGTCTTGAAATCTCCTCACGTCCTTGGGCTCCACAGAGGCACACACCACAGCACATGACTCTGGATGGCAATGAGCAGCTTTCTTTTCTTTAATTAAATAAATAAATCCCTGGATTTAAGCCACAAAGCAAAATGAAGAAGGGAGGTTTTGGATGGAAATAGAAGTGGGAAATGGTCCAGTTAAAGCTCCAGGGCATGACTCACTCCTGCAGCCAAGCTCGCAGCTCCCCCCAGACATCAGCCTTGGCCTGATTGACAAGATCCTGCTGAAATGCTTTCCACCCCTCAGTCCCCTCTATTGGAAACTATCAAGTGTCACCCTTCAGATGCTTGTGCTCATTCGCTCTTGTATCTGAAACCAAGTTGCCCAGCTTTTACAGAGGGGAATCCCATACCATTCTATACAGTCCAGATTGTGGGTCAGAAAATAGACTCCAACAGTGTATTTCTGGCCCTACAACAGCCTGTTTATGTAAAGAAAGGGAAGAAGGAATGGGAAAATGAGGGTACTTTTTCTTTTTTCTTTAACCTTTATTGAAATATAGTCGATCTACGATGTGTTAGTTTCAGGTGTCAGCAAAGTGATTCCATGATACATATGTACATACACATACTTCTTAAGATTCTTTTCCATTATAGGTTACTGCAAGATATTGAGTACAGCTCCTGTGCTTCTTGGTGGCCCAGGGGTGAAGTATCTGCCTGCAATACAGGGGATGCGGGTTCGATCCCTGGGTCGGCAATGTCCCCTGGAGAAGGAACCCACTCAAGTATACTTGCCTGAAAAATCCCATGAACAAAGGAGCCTGGCAGACTGTAGTCCAGAGTCAGATCTGGGGTCACCAGAGCCAGACACAACTTAGCGACTGCACCACCATTACCACCACTCTGTGCTACACAATAGGTCCTTGTTGTTTATCTATTTTACATAAGGTAGTCTGAAAAGGGAAAAGTATTAGTCGCTCAGTCATGCCTGACTCTTTTTCGACCCCATGCACTGTAGCCCGCCAGGCTCCTCTGTCCTCAGAATTCTCCAGCCAAGAATACTGGAGTGGGTAGCCATTCCCTTCTCCAGAATATCTTCCTGACCCAGGGATTGAACCTGGATCTCCTGCATTGCAGAGTCTTCTTTACTGCCTGAGCCACAGGGAGTCACCCATTAGTATGTATATTTTAATTTCAAATTCCTAATTTATCCCTCCCCAATGCCTTTTCCCTTTGGTAACCATCAATTTGTTTTCTATGTCTATTAGTCTATTTCTGTTTAGTAAATAAGTTCATTTGTGTCATTATTTTTAGATTCCACAAATAAGCAATACCATATGGTATTTGTCTTTTTCTGACTTACTTCACTTAGTGTGACAGTCTCTAGGTCCAGCCATGTTGCTGCAAATGCCATTATTTCATTCTTTTTAATGGCCAGATAATATTCCATTGTATATATGGACCACATCTTCTTTATCCATTCATCTGTCTATGGACCTTTAAGTGGTCTCCATGTCATAACTATTGTAAATAGTGCTACGAACACTATGGTACATGTATTCTATCAAATAACAGTTTTCTCCAAACATGCCCAGGAGTGAGGTCACCGGAGAGGATCCAGTGGAGAGGTGGAAGGTGTCACTGGAGAGGACACTTTCTTTCATTCAACTTCTCTTTCCTTTGCCTACCTCTCTAGAGTCAAGCTCTGAGGGTACAAAATGCTGAGTGATGGGCTCGTTGTCAAAGAGCTGGCTGTGTGTATATTTGGGATAGTGGTAGGTTATATCTGGCCAAGAAGTAAAAAGTTGAACATCACGGTGAATTGCAACCACTTCAAAATGTTGAAAGAGCCATTAGTTCATTAAAATGATGAGCAGGGAAAGGTTAACAATAGAAAGAAATGTTGTTGTAATGAACAAATGTGTTTTCATCAGAGTCTAGAATAAATTCTGGATAACAGTCAACCAAATTATGTGAATTTGACACTGGCATTACACCAAATTAGCAGGTTATCAATCAACAAAAAATGGAGGAAAAAAGAGAGGATGTAATCAGTGTTCATTTAAAAGAATTTTTTTTTGTACTAATAACTTATCAGTGTTAGGAAACATGATGAGTATTAGATAGGAGACAAGAAGTGGGAAACATAAATGTGAGTTTGTTTTGGAAGGGTGAAAAATTTAGAAAAGCATGTAAGGTTACAAGTGCTGGGTGGTGTTGGTTAGAAAAGAATGGGTTGAAAGAGGGAAATATTACAGAACAAGTTAGTAGAAATAGGGGATGTGTTAGGTCAGTTAAATGCAACTAGAGAGTTCAACAAGACATTATGGAGAACAGATAAAGAGGAAACTGCAAAATATCAACCACCTTGTGGGGATAAGAGAGGACCCATGACTAGTTAGGGTTTGTCCAAATGAAGCAGGGGCTGTAACCAAACTGAAAACCCCTCTACAGGCGTCCCTGGATTAGATAATTATAATGAGAATACTTACATGCAAATAAAGTAGAAGGTGACTTGGGGTCAGTCCGTAGTCTAATTAGCTGCTGCTTCTGGGGAAGATGGAGTGAACTTTGGGAAGTGTTTGTGCCAGGTACAAAGCACTGGAAACCAGGACAGAAAACTTACAAGGATGTACTGAAAGGTTGTGGAGGCTTTCTGCTCAGGGAACTTCCTGGGGAACAGAGACCCGATACATCTTGCACTGATACAGTCACAGATCATGTAAATAATAAGCCTAGTGCTATGGATTTACCTCTTCTCACCCACCCTCGGTGAGAGGAGGTGAGGAAAGTGAGTTCACAGTCTCTTTTTCTCTTCCCTCCTCCCAGTATTTGAAAAGGTGGGTTAGAGGACTGCTCAGCAGGACAGCAGGCAGTGGCAGGGGACAAAGTGTGGAGGAACCTTGAAAACATGCTTAGTGAAAGAAAAGTCACAGACTACCTATTGTATGACTCCATTTATATAAAATGTCCAAACAGGCAAGTCTATGGAGATACAAGCTCATCCCAACCTATTCTTCTAGCCTCCCCTCTTCCTTTGAAACTAGCTTGCACAAAGAATGTAGACAGGAGTTGAACCAATCATGTAGTGTTTCTCAAAGTGTGGTCCAAGATGACCCACATCAAGATCATTGGGAGAACTTATTAAATATGCAGATTAGAAGGCCAGCCCAAACTCACCAAACGAGAACCTCTGGAGATGAAATCTGAAGAAGCTCACTACCCCACCCCTTCTGTGAGTCTCATTCCAGTCACCAGGCTTCTACTTTCTATGGACATTACGTGTGCAGTAGGACAAATCTCAGCGGTTGGCACGATTTTAGGGAATTTTGAGAGGAAGGGATAGTAGTGCCTTCCTGCCCAGAAAATCAGCTCCCCTCTGCTTCCTCTGTGGCTGGCTCCTTGTCTCGGTGTATGAACAGTCTCCAAGAGGACTCTGCCCTTAGCATTTAGCACCCCTGCAAATTGAAGTCCCAGCTTTTGCTTTCTCCACACTCGTCCCTCTTATCCCCCAAATTCTGCCCTATTCATACCCTGCCCCAAACACTCCAGAACACTCAGAAGTCTCATTTTAACTACCTCAAATCTTTCCATGACCTTTAACAGTAACTTGTTTACCTCAATAGGCTCCTGGCTAGTCTTTGCTGTTGTTGTTAGGCCAGTTTTAGGTTCACCGCAAAATTGAGCACTAAGCAGAGTTCTCATATGCTCCCTGGCCCAAAACACACACAACCTCTCCCACTATCAACATCCTACGCAGAATTCCCTGGAGGTCCTAGTAGTTAGGATTCCAGGTTTTCACTGCCATGGTCCAGGTTGAATCCTTAGTCAGGGAACTGAGATCCTGCAAGCCACAAGACATAACCAGAAAAACAACCACCCCGCCAAAACATCCCACACAGGAGTAGCACATACATTATAACTGATGAAGCTATACAACACATCATTACCACTCAACAGAATTTATATTATGGGCTCACTTTTCTTTGGCTGCACTGGGTCTTAGTTGCGGCATGCAAGATCTTCGTTGCAGCATACTAACTGTTAGGTGTGGCATGCGGGATCTAGTTTTCTGACCAGGGATAAAAGCTGGGCCCCTGCATTGACAGCACAGTCTTCAGCCACTGGACCACTATGGGAGTCCCAGGGTTCACTCTTGGTGTGGCATGTTCTATGGATTTCAACAACAGTATAGCAGCATGGGTCCATCATTACATTATCACACAGAATAGTCTCACTACCATAAAAGTCATGTGTTCCACTGATTCATTCCTCTCTCCCCCCAACTCTCAATATTTTTACTATGTCTCCATAGTTTTGTCATTTTTCCATTGTATGCAGCATTTTGAGATTGGCTTCTTTCATTTAGTAATATGCATTTACATTTCCTCCATGTCTTTTCATGGCTTGAGAGATCATTTCTTTTGAGCTCTAAATAATATCCCATTGTTTGGATGCACCACAGTTTATTTATCCACTCACCTAACTAAACTCATCTCTGTTGCTTCCAATTTTTTGCAATCATGAATAAAGCTCCTGTAACCCTGGGTGCAGGTTTTTGTGTGGACTTGTTTGCGTAAGTACCAAGGAGCACGAACTGTTGAATCATACGCTAAGAATGCTTAATTTGCAAGAAATAGACAAATGGTTTTCCCAAGTGGCTGTACATTTTGCATTCCCGTCATTCTTGTGCCTCCCCACCCTCACCAGCATTTGATGATGTTTTAGACTTTGCCCATTCTAATAGGTGTGTAATGGTATCTTATTTTGTTAATTAGGCACCTAGTTTTTAAACAACTACTCTTTTCTCCATGGTTTTGGGGTCCTGTTTTAAACTTTTGCACTGCAACTTATATTATTAAAAATGGAATATAACATTTCTTAAAACTAACTTTCTCTTTCTTCCTTTTAAACATAGATAAATGCAGAGGGCACACCAGAAGAAGTTTTTCTTCAACTCTGCACAGCTATTGACTCTATTTTCTGAAGGCAAAAAACGCATGTATGTTGAGAGTGGAACAGAGAAAAATATTAAAAGGTTCATCGCTTAACACAGTATGTTTCAATTTAAACCTGTGTGTCCCCCGCCTCGAAATCCTGACATTGCTGTTTGCTTCCCAGCTTGACCTGAGAGGTGTGTGGAAATCATGCATGGTGTATTTGGTATTACCCAGCCTTTTCTTCCTCAGTCAGACAGCAGTCTGCACTCACAGCACGCACTCTTTTCTGTCACCTCAGAGCTAAATTAGTATGTGAACAGCAGTGCAGTGCCCATCTGTCAGGTGTGCCTTCAGAACTAATCATTTGATTCTACTCACCTCAGAGAGGGAGGAGTTAGTGTCCTTAACACCCCATCACATCTCCCTTCCTCTCTTCAAGATTTGTTGTTACCTAAGGCCCTTAATATGGGGGGCAAGCTGGGGCATCTCCCTCTGCAAGCTGTTTCCTCAAAGTCTCATCCAGCTCAGAATCACAGAGATTGGGTTAACAAGTGAACACCAACTGTTCCTAAGAAATTTGATTAAATTTCTAAAAATGTTATGAGCTTTTTAAAATTTGAAAGTGCATAGCTTTTTCAAAGATAGCAAAATCTAGACTAGTCACCCATAACATTTCTCTATTCATTTCTGTAAAACTGGCAACTTGGAATACTGTCATGGATACTTGGAATACTGTCACATTGGCTAAAAGAACAAATTGGATAAACTGTCTAACTTAGACTCTTCTATAAAATAGTTGGTGCATCTGGGGAATTATACATTAATACCAATGACCACACAGAATTTCAAAGCATGAGGTGATTTGTTATTACATTCACTGGACTAACGTCAACTTATGCCACCTGTGTAGTTACCAAGCAAATAAGAAATGTAATAACAAAACTGACGTGGGAGGAAGGGGCCTGTCAGTACACGATGTTTTAACAGAGTTTGTTGTTGTATTTGTTCCATAAAGGCCCTTTACAGAGGTTTGCAAACCTTATATCCATATGTAACATTGTGTTTCCTCAAATCAAACCAGTGAAGTTTGGGTTCTCTTTTGTGCTACCAGCTGCCAAGTCAGAGTTTCTTATATATTCTACTGGAATAATTGCAATTAGTCACTACAAAAGACCACAGTTTCAGTTTGCATGATTTTTTTTTTTCCCTTCAATGGTTGTGCAGGATTGAAGGATTCATTTCTGGGACAGAATTGTATTTTTAAAATCTTTTTTTTTCCTTGAAATGGATATGTACAAATAAAATAAATGGAACACAGGATAACTCTTTTTCTATTTATTTGTAACTCACATCATTCTGGAAAGCATTTGAAGCCTTATTCCAAACAGAATTTCAAAGGCAAACACAGTAAGTTGAGATTTATGATATGCTCATATGGTTTTAATTTTGGCCATAGATCAGTTTTGAGCTATTACAGAGAGCACTCTCAATGTATTCATGATACATGGTAATTTTCATATTTCCTTTTACTCTAGCAGTCATTCTTAAACAGAAATGTCAGTGTTTGCTAAAGAAGAAATTAAATTTCTTTGGTTACAATTACGTCTCTGTTAACAAAAAGGGGCATGTTCCTACAGCTCACACAGTTGTCAAATACTTTATTACTACCCCCAAGTTGTAACACTCTCTACAGGGGAACACAAGGAGTATTTGAGCAAATTAGAGAGAGAGTTACAGGATGAAAATTATCAGTTGTGCCAGAAAACACAAAATGACTCTTTGTCGAGATGAACATTCTTTAAACACATACCACATACTGGTAAACAGTCTATGCCCACCACAGCTTTGACAGACAGCAGGGCAGCAGACAAGCTCAGCCATGGCTTTGATGACTGCAGTTGGCTACCCTCTTAAGAAAAAAAAATTAGCAGGGGTAAATGGCTTTGCCCCCAAGAGTATCTAGAGGTGCAAATCAAGTCTCCTACAAAACTGCTAAAACAGTCTACTGATTTGAATGGCTTGACATGACATCACTAATAAGATTGTATAGTAGGAAAGGACCTTAGCAGTCTCTGCCCCTGGAAGAAGACCTTGTCTGTATGTATAAAATATCAAAACACAAACTCCTTTACAGTGATCCACATTCAGAGCCTCACTTGATCTGGCCTTGTAGCCTTTCTCATCCCAACAGCCACCACTGTCCTCTTGCTCATCTGGTTCAAAGGACACTGGCCCTCTGTTGCCTGAACAAGCTAAGCTCGCTACTGGATCAGGACCCCTGGCTTTGCTACCCTTCTGCCTCTTCCTCCAGATTATCCACAAGGCTAAATCCCTCACCCCATTCAGGTCTCTGTTCAAGCTGACTCTTGCTGAGGTGTTCTCTGAGTACTCCTTCTAAATGACAGACTGGTCCTGATAATTCTTCTTTTTCCGAGCATTATTTTTCTTCACAGCATTTAGCTCTGCCTAAAATTATATAGTATTTTTTATTTACTTGTTCACTGCAGATCTTCGGCATTAGAATATAAGCTTCAGAAAGGCAAGGCTCCATATCCTCAGTTCCACACATAGCCATCATTATGGAGGGCTAACACTTAAATCCTCTAAACCTTGGTTTTCTCATATGTACAGTGGAGGTCACAACCATAAGCAGCCTCATAGAGGTGTTGTGAGGATTAAAGAGGTCAATAATACATGTAAATCATTTACTAGTTCCTAGTGCTCAGTAAAAGGCAGTCCTTTGTCAACATTTATTGAGCGACTCGTTTAAACAACTGAAACTAGGACCCAGAATTTCCATTCTAGTTTTATTACATTACTCTAAAAACACGGCAGAAAATGGGGTCCCAGAGAGGACCAAAATCTCAGCCACCTAGGTCTGAACCACATCCTCTAGATAAGACAGGATGTAATAATCCTTGAGTCCTCCCAGAGCCCTCCAAAGTTCTCCTGAGGCAAACCTTCTAAGGGTCCCACAGACAAACTCGCAGACACTCAGGCATAGGTGGTTTCTCTAACTTTGTAGAGGAAAAAATGTAACCAAAACATTGGTCCTATTACCAATAAATATTTATTGAGAATCTACTAAGAGCCAGACCGTAGGTATAAAGGTAGACACAGATGGTCTCTGTCTTAATGGAGCTAAATGTGACACCATGCTCAAAAATCCATTTAATCAGCTACTTGAACTTTAAGGGAAAAGGTTCCCCCCAGGCCACCTCAGGATCATATAAATAGAAGCACACTGTTCATCAAGATATGAAATAAAAACTTTTAGAACCTACATAGAACAATACCTGCATCATCTTGTGGAAAAACCTACTTGTTATCTGGAGACTTTCAAGTCCATTCAATGTACCTAGAATAACAGCCTTCAAACTTTGTTACCCACAGTAAGCAATATAGAAATTTATATAGCATGCCACTCTTATGTTTATAACATAGAATTTTTGCAAAGTATTTATCCTTACTACATGTCATATACTGTTTTTTTCATTTCATAAAAAAATGTTCTTTATACCCCAGTAAATTGTTGTGTCCTGCAATTTAAACAAAAGAGAAAAGGAGAGAAAAATGGACATGACATACTATTATGCTGAGAGGTACCAAACATGCAGGGAAAACAAACTGTACCTGAGGCAGGAGACCCAAGCCTTTAGTCCCAGCTTTGCCTAAAGCCTCATGACCACATGTTTGCTGTGAAATTAGAATATGTAAGTTATGTTTGTTTCCTTAATTCATCACAGGGCAGGCTGGGTGCTTTTTCCTCATCCATAGATGTGCTTCTCTATTCTGAGCTATAAACCTGGATGTTTGCTCAGATTTATATTCTAGGGTGCACAGCACACCAGAATAAGACAGAAAAGCAACTCCTACACACCTTCACCTCCAATACCTCGGTGACCCCTGACAAAGGGAATATTCTTGTGCAGGAAATAAGGTAGTGAGGCAGACGCTGACCTGGGAGCAATCTGTCTGGGTTAAAGTCTAAGCATCACCATGTTACTAACCATATTGTCCTTGGGCAAGCTACTTAACCTCTCTGGCTAGATTTCCTGATATGAAAACAGGATAATAAATGAACCTGCCTCATAAAATTATAAGAATTAAATCTGTTACTATACGCTTGCTTGGCACATAGTAAGCACTCTATCAGTGTTTGCTATTATTCTTAGCGCATATCACGCCGAACAAAATTCCCACTGCCTAAACCTGAAAGCAGTGGTTTTAGGTGTCCTTACAAGTTCTTAAAGGAGATCAACCCTGAAATTCACTGGAAGGACTGATGCTGAAGCCAAAGCTCCAGTATCCTGATCATCTGATGCGAATAGATAACACACTGGAAAAGTCCCTAATGCTGGGAAAGACTGAGAGCAGAAGAAGAGGGTGTCAGAGGATGAGATGGCTGGATAGTATCACTGATGCAATGAACATGACCTTGGGCAAACTCCAGGAGACGGTGAGGGACAGGGAGGTCTGGCATGCTGCACTCCGTGGAGTCACAAAGAGTCGGACACGACTGGGCGACTGAACAACAACAAAAGTTCCTTCAGTTATTAGCAAATAACTTGAGTATAACATTTCAGAAAATACAACTGACCTATTGAATACTACTGAATAAGTGATGCTTTAACAAGTAGGACTATGTTTGTCTCAATGCCAATGCTTCCAGGTAGGAGATGGAAGGCCTACTTGCAAATGACAACGCTGCCCATTCCTGCAGTCTTCAAATTAATACAACAATACACATTACCACTAACTATTGCCCTTTTAAAGTCAAGAGGACTATTTGCTTGGAGCTGAGAAATGCAAACTAAACACATCTTTGCTTAGGCAGAAAAGAATCCTCTTTGTCACTCAAAATTCTCAAAAATCTTTTGCCCTTAAAAAAAATTTTTAAGTGGATTTATTCTATTCTTTTTATAATAACAATTGTTATCACTCTTTCAAAGAATATATCATAGTTTATGGGATTTTTAAATGGCTCTGAATGGTTCTTCAAAATTGATTGGTATTATTCCTATACAAACACAGAGGTTATAGAAGTTACCATCAGTGCTACCTACTATCTTACTACAAGTTGAAGGTAGAGCTTCTGGAATATTCACTTGCAATTTCATAGCCAAATGCCCAAACTGCGGATTTTCCTCTTCTTCCCCCAACTAATAATTTCAGGGCATAAAGTTTAGCTCAAGTCCATTTCCCTTTTTTCTGATGTGATATAATTTACCAAAATCATCAGTATACTTTAATCAATATATTACTTTTAAAATTCTCATATTTCTATAGTTAAAATTATATTACTTTTCTCAATTAAAAAAATTCAGGGTATAATTTCAGTACACTACATGTATTGAAGAGGACTGGTAAATAATGTCCCCTTGATTTAAAACTGGAAAAAACAGGAGACTAAAAATTGTGTCAGTATACTTAGTTAATCTTAGAATATTTACATTTTCCATTAGTCAATAATAATTTCCAGAGAATTACAGTGATTTTCAAAAACTACTTATTTAACACATGGGGAGACTCAAAAAGAATGAGTAAGAATTTTCAACATTAAGTTTAGTTTTCACATCTGGACATTAATTATTGCCTTTTTTCTTTAACCATGGTATGCATTCTTTTTTTAAACCTAGTTTAGTGTTTCAGCAAACACACTGAGTAAAAACATCACCATCTTTTACAGAGTTTCTCAAATTTACTCTTTTCCATCATATAGTCCATATTCTTCTTAAAGAATAGGGAAAGGAAAAAAAAAAAAACCCTTAAAAAAATTTTTAACACTCATTAAAAAAAAAAAATCCAAAATCTAACCAAAGGAAGTCACAACAAGCATTCTATAATATAAACAGACAGTATCCACATAGTTTATTTCTCACAGTTCTCCTGACAAATGAACATTATTCAAGAACATACTGTATACACAGATAAGAAGAAACATACAAAATGTTTTAAATGATGCACAACAAAATCCAGCAGTATAAAAGAATGCATGTGAACTCTTGCTCACTGCACAGACTAAATTTAATCACTTGTTTAAATAGTAATAAAAATACAATCTTTTATGGATCTTGTGCAGACTACAAAAGAGGGAAATTATTATCATATATATGATTTTTATATTAGGCAGTTTTCTTCAATGAGTTGCACTGGCAACTCCAAATACAGAGGCAGAAGGCTGTGTATTTTAAAGAAATTAATATTGTGAATTAGAGACTTTACACAGTTACTACCACTGGCACTTTTCACCATAGTTTGTACACATCACATGATCATCTTATATAACGTTACATTTAAAAAATATATCTGAGTGACAATTC